TTTTTTTTCTTTTTGAGGAACCAGGGATTGAACTCAGGCTCTTGAGCTTGCCAGGGAAACGCTTATTCCACTGAGCCATCTCCCCGGTCCCTTTATTCTGATTCTGTTACATACTTTAATCATTTCTAAAATAATTTTAAAACATAATTTTTACATACAAAATGACACACTTTCATTGCTATTTTATTTTTTTCTCATTGAAATGAATAAAAAAAAAAACAAAAATGACACTAATTCCTATTTAGAAGAAATTTTATCTTCACAGTATTTGTGATAGATGAACTAAATAACTATACCTACATCAGTTTATTATTTTATAAGATTATATGTATTTCATACAAATGAGATGAAAGAAACTAGCCCCTTTCCTGATTTTATAAATAAGTAAGGACATTAAGGCACAAAGAAGTTAAATGGCTTATCTAAAAACATTTCAACAGAGGACAGGCTGAAACAAGAGCCCCTATCTCTTACACCTTAGCCAATGCTCTTTAAAATATATGATACAGCAGCCTTGGTGGCATATGCCCATAAATCTAGCTACTCAGGAGGCTGATGCCGGATTAAGTCCAATAAATAAACACATAATGATACCTTCCTTCCAGACAATGTAACACTCCAAAACAAACCACTAGAAAGAATGCCCTTTACAGATTATTCTTTATGAGATAACTCCATATCCAATCTGAATTAATAAAACCTCCAGTGCGGATTTCATTATAATCACATTGTAAAATGAAAAGTCAGGGATTTAGCTCAATGGCATAGCTCCTGCCTGGCATGTGTGATACAGAGTTCAATTCCCAGGAGAGGGAGGAGGAGCGGGAAGGGGATGGGGAGGGGAAAGGAGAGGAGGACGGGGAGGTAGGAAGTGAGGGGAAAGTTACAGCAAAAATATAATAGCAGTCAAAATCCCAGGCCTTGGGAGGCTGACACAGGAGATTCGCTGTGCAGTAGAGGCCACCCTGGGCTACAAAGTGAGCTCGAGGCCAACCTGAACTGCACAATGAAATCCTGTCTAAAAAAGAACGGTTTTCTACTTTTTTCTTTTTTTCCATTTTTCTTGAACAGGGAGAAATTCAATGCAGGGAGCTACAAAATACTTGATACATTTGTAGGAATAACTTTTTTATAGGTTAAGACAATATGTTTTATTTCCATTTTTATACTTTATAAAAAACCTTTACTATAGACTGCATCCTTTTCAACTTAAGGCATCATTGCTCCCCCTTTTGTGTCTTCTCTCTTAAAACTTCCTTGAATTCTGCTTAGATCTCTTCTTGTGGAATTTTTATCTTGCCATGGATATTCAGTCAATAGAAATAGACTTTTACTAAGAGCCAAATGCATTCAAGCACTGGAAACAGAAAGATAAAATATAGTCAGTTGTCGTCCAAGAAGTCCATGTTCCATTAGGAAACAAAAGAAAATGAGTGTAAAACCCTTCAAATAAGCAATCACAGATATAATACGTAAGAAACAAAAAAAAAAAAAAAAAAAAAACACCTAATGGCAGGGAAGCTAAATGAAAACATTTTTATGTGGATTTGGGATGCCTGGCCTGTAAATGAGTACAACAATATTAACAAGAACCTAAAGAGGCGGGTCTTCTGAGTGAGCGCGTGAGCTGCTTGCTGCCTGCTGCCCAGCCATGGCACTTCACGCCCCCAAGGCCCCAGGCTTGCCCAGATGCTCAAGGAGGGAGCCACACACTTTTCAGGATTAGAAGAGGCTGTGTATAGAAATATACATGCTTGCAAGAAGCTTGCCCAAGCCACCCGTACAACAAATGGACCAAATGGAATGAACAAAATGGCTATCAGCCACCTGGAGAAGCTGTTGGTGCCAAATGACGCAGCAACTATGTTAAGAGCACTAGAAGTTCAGCATCGTGCTGCAAAAATGACTGTGATGGCCTCTCATGGGCAAGAACAAGAGGGCGGAGGTGGCACAAAGTTGGTTCTGGTCTTTGCTGGAGCTCTTCTGGAATTAGCTGAAGAACTTCTGAAGACTGGCCTGTCAGTTTCAGACGTTACAGAAGGGTACAAAGCAGTCTGCAAAAAAGCCCATGAAATTCTTTCTGATTTAGTATGCTGTTCTGCAAAAAACCTTCGGGATGCTGAAGCATCAGCTCTGCTTCGTACCTCCATAATGAATAACAGTATGGGAATGAAGCATTTCTAGCCAAACCGATTGCTCAGGCATGTGTATCTATTTTTCCTGACTCTGGCCATTTCAAAGTTGATAACATCAGAATTTAGAAAATTCTGGGCTCTGGTATCTTCCTCTTCAGTATTACATGGCATGGTTTTTAAGAAGGAAACTGAAGGTGATGTAATATCTGTCAAGGAAGCAAAAACTGCAGTGTACTCATGCCCTTCTGATGGCATGATAACAGAAACTAAGGAGTACTGATAAAGACAGTTGAAGAATTGATAAATTTTAGTAAAGGAGAAGAAAATCTTGTGGATGCACAAGTCAAAGCTATTGCTGATAGTGGTGCAGATATTGTAACAGGTGGCAAAGTGGTGGACATGGCTCTTCACTATGCAAACAAAATATGCTGGTGAGGCTTAACCTGAAATGGGATCTTAAGGACAAACAGTGCTACAGCTCTTCCTAGACTGACTCCTCCTGTCCTGGAAGAAATGGAACACTGTAACAGCATGTACCTCTCAGAAGTTGGAGACACACAGGTGGTGATTTTTACACATGAAAAAGAAGATGGTGCCATTTCTACTATTGTATTTTGAGGTTCTACTGACAGTCTAATGGATGGCATAGAAAGGGCATGGATGACATGGTGGTGTTAACACTTTCAAAATTCTCACAGAGGATAAACGTCTTGTACCTGGAGCTGGCGCAACAGAAACTGGCCAAACAGATCACATCATACGGAGAGGCCTGTCCTGGACTTGAACAATACACTATCAAGAAGTTTGCTGAGGCTTTTGAGGCTATCCCATGGGCACGGGCAGAGAATTTGCCACCTGTTACGATGACATCTGCACTAGTATAAGTTAAGGCCAATGAAGCAATCTCTAAACTTTATGCAGTGCATCAAGAAGCAAATAACAATGTTGGATTAGATGTTGAGGCTGAAGTTCCTACTGTAAAGGACGTGCTGGAAGCTGGTGTTCTAGATACTTATCCGAGAAAATACTGGGCTTTATCAAGTTGGCTACTAATGCTGCAGTCACTGTACTTGGAGCTGATCAGATCATCATGGCCAAACCAGCCAGGGGGCCCAAGCTTCCAAGTGGAAAGAAGGATTGGGATGATGACCAAAATGAGTGACTGGCTTAATTTTTACTATAGACGAACACAGCATTTGTAGTTGTATTCTATTAATTCCTGGTTCCTTACTCTCCTTAAATTTAAGAGTGTTTGTTTGCTTCCTCAGCTGATGTAATAAGCATAGTTACTCTGAAAAAAAAAGAAGAACCTGAAGTTCAAGAACACTATTAAAGCACGGGCAAGATGCCTCAGAGGACCAAACACCTGCTTTGGCAAGCACAGGGACTACAGTCCAATCCCCAGTCCCACAGGCCATACCTGTCCCACCCCAGGGATGTGCTTAGCCTTCGACCAGAGGTGGTGGCACAGGCCTGTAATTCAGCACTGAGGAGGCTGAAAACAAGAGGATCACTACAAGTCTGAGTTGCATAGTGAGACCCTGTACCAAATACATAAAAAAAAAAATAATAAACACTATTAGAACAAATAAAAATAACTCAAAATATTCTAGTACAGATTTACAACAGCAACGACAGAAAATAAAACTTTAAAATACATGCTACAGAACCTACAAAAATCAATGTTAATATTTTGGGAGATGGATTAAAGCGCCTGCAAGCAGGTGCTGGGACCAGGTGTTCTATCCCCAGGCCTGCCATGCTGGCCCTGCCCCAAGGGGCATGCTGAGACAGCAACTGAGACTGGGCTTGGTGACACACGCCTGTAATCCTAGCTCTTGGGAGGCTGTAAACAGGCAGATCAC